GTAAGAAAACCAAAACTTGAAAAGAAGAAAGTGGAAGACAACAGATAAAGTGTAACAAACAGAAAGGAAGTCTATGGCATCTGCATGAGAGTCTACATTCCATGCATTTGTACTTGTGATTGCAAGAGAGGTCAGCATATCTGTATTGGAATTGTATCTGTGAGCTCATGGAAAAAGTAATGATGTTGCAACACAGACTTCAAAGTGGGCTCAGAACTTCAAATCACATTCAAATTCTCTACCAGACTTCTGCAGTTCAAGATGAAGTCACTCAAAGCAAAAGTTCCTGTAAGAAACTACTTGTACAACTGCACTAGTTGCCTTCATTTCCAAACATTATGAACTTCACCTTATTCTTTACTATGGAACCACAACATACTTGGATTAGGCAAAAAAAATTAGCATGAACTACTTCATTCTAAAAAAGAAAATACCATACAACCATTAATTCCTTCTCTAAAGATAATCTGATTGGACTAGAATTGTTCTTTCTGCCCTTGCACAGACTTGCAGCATGGCTATTAGACTTCATTTTCTGCTGTTTAAAGTAGTCATTCCAACTAAGGCTAAAGTTTCACTGACACATTTAGCAGCTCCCTGGAAAGTCTTAATGTAATATTTTGCACTAGATAGCATTCAGGTGGCTGGATGCAACCCTATGGCATATGTCCTCATAGCACAGCACAGTCTTTCAGGTCTTAGTTTCTAGAGTTCTTTGCATAGTTCACACAACATATATAAGGTGGCAACCTCTTTCCTAGGTCTTGTTCATTTCATTTGTTCATGAAATTCAGAAGTTTTTTTTAAAATTCTCAGATGCACAAAAAGCATGCTATATAACGCACTGACTGCCACCCCCCTCTGTACATCACACACATCTCAGTGGCAAGAGATCAGCAAGATGAGATATTTATTAGCGACAACAGTCCAATTCAATGTAAACCAAATGGTATTTATTAAGAACTTTGGCAAGTTCAGCTGCCAGGGTTCTGTGCCATTCTATCACAGGTAGCTTGCTGGCTCTAATGGAGTTAGCCACTTCAAGGCCAACTGAAAAATTGTCCATGCAAGCAGTCATCACAGCAGTAATACTGCAAATACATTGAAAGAGATCTCAGCCTGGTACTGAATTTGGGACTCCTCTTCTTGTTGACATTTCCTCTTGACATTTCTCCTCTGTGTTCCAACCTCCTCAACAGCACCTTTCTATTCAACTACAAGCTGGGAAGTTGCAGTACAGCTCCTCGGAGAGCATTCTTGTTACTTTCTCAATGAGGAACCTCAATACTTCCTGGTGAGACAATTTGCAATTCAAGCATTACATTTCTTTTCAGTAGATAAGACACGTTGTTCCGCTTTGCTTTTCTATTGCAACTGAAAACTGCTTCAGTTTTGTTGTAATCTAGCACAGTGTATCAGTGGGAGAAATCAGAGTTCATCCTTTTTTCTCATGATAAAATATAGGTGTTCCTACCGAGGCAGCTACGCTACTCTTTTGCCCTACATTGTGTATAAGTGTTAATAGATTTTAACCTGTACAAAATTGTGCTGCTAAGATTTGGTCCGGCACCAGATGGAGCGAGTACGTAACTACACTTCCCACTAGTTTGAGATGGATGATAGTCTACCAGCTTGAGCAATGATGTTCTCCAGTGACCAAAAGTATTCATAGGAATACTCCAACTTGATGGATGCATTTTATTCCTTTGATTTACATCTTCATCTATGAATGCGTATCTATTGCTAGAGAGATTTCTTTTCATATTTCCTGCTCAGTAGTATCAAATCACAGAATCATAGAGATTGGAAAAGACCTTTAAGGTCATCTAGTCCAACTGTCCACCTACCAACAATATTGCCCACTAAACCATGTCCCTAAGTACCACATTTACACATTTCTTGAATATCTCCAGGGACAGTGACTCCACCACCTCCCTGGGCAGCCCACTCCAATGCATGACCACTCTTTCTGAGAAGATTTTCCTAATATCCAACCTGAATCTCCCCTAGCACAGCTTGAGGCCATTTCCTCTCAACCTATCACTGATTACCTGGGAGAATAAGCCAACCTCCAGCTCTCTACAACCTCATTTCAGGTACCTGTAGAAAGTGATGAAGTCTCCCTTGAGCCTCCTCTTTTCCAGACTAAAGAATGCCATGTTCCACAGCCTTCTCCTTCTCTCAGCTTCAAGGCACCACAAGGGCCTGTGCGTCTACTCAGGAGACCTCCACCACCTGACAGCAAATACAGCCACACTGTCTCCACCACTGTGTCCAGGTTCACAAAAAGCAAATCAGCTGAACTGACACAGCCCCATGAAGTGCATTAGGTAAATACAGGAGCCTGGCCAGCATCAATTTTGCACTGCAATAGAACTACCCTTGCACAAATAATTAAATACCATCTACAACAAGAAAACAAAACTTCTCAGCTTATAACCACCTCCCTTGGAAAATGAAAGATCTACCAAGAAAAAGAATTTTTACTTTACTTTCTCTCCTTCTTTTTCTCTTATTGGTTGAGCATAGCTAAATGAAATGAAAAGTCATACATACAGAAGATAACAAATATCCTTTGAGGGCATAGAATATTCACCATGCTGCAATCTGGTGCCTGAGCAAGAACTCAGGCCAAAAATATCATGTATAGAAAAACACTGCAATACTGTGATTTCATGCCTAATGTTACCTTATGGTTTAAGTAGCTCCCTTGGCTCTTACACTTGTAGCAATTAGAATTTCCAGACAGCTCAGTGGCAAATATTCTAGGTTCCCTCTACATCGCAGCACTAACTGGCAGATGGCAGTCATTCTTACTGTGAATGAATTTAATTCATTGGTACAGCACAAGGCTGTAAACCTAAAGACTTGTTTAAAGCTTCCAAAATTTTCATTCTGCCTTTTACAGGAAGTTACAAAGCAACAACAGTCAGTTGTGTGATGGAAGTCTCTTTTTTTTTTTTCTGTAAATCACAGGCTAAGTTCTACAGTGGGATACACAGGTCAACATTCCACTGTTTCTGGAGTTCATTAACACATTTCTACCCTTTTCCCTTCATGATGCTTTATTAGCAATGAGGTTATTTCAGCACAGAATGCTATCTCCTGAAGAACACAGAAACAGTCTCTAAATTACTGCCTCATATGCTTGATCAGAAAAACTGGAGCATCAGACAAAGAAGAGGGAATGCCTGCCAAATGCGCCTGATTTTTTAGTGTAGCTGCCTCAAATCAGGATTTTATCAGGACTGCCTCCTATATAATGAAGATGATACACTTCTCCATTACTAGGACAGTACTTAATATATGTGGCAAAGGTTAAGCAATATACATTTCAACTTAGACAGCTTCTTCTGACCTGAAATCCAGGTGGACTGCAAGTAATTAGCACTCTGGAGAAGTCAGAGTTCTAGGCCTTCATTGGATGTGTCAGCTTGTTTTAGTGACCAGATTCTGGAGTTTTAAGTTACTCTATGGAATATCAACTGAAAGTAATGCCTCCTATTTACTATCATGGCAATACAGCAAAGAGCACAATAATACTATTCCACAGAGTAAATTCTCAGCTACAAAATACTGTTTTTCAACACAGTCACCACCACTAGCTATGCATTTTTGCCAGCCATGAACAAAGAGCCTGTGTAGCGTGCATGTCAAAATCTGCACCACTGTCCCTATCTAGACCCACCATTGCTGTCACCACTGCTGAAATGCATCACCCACACAGTGCCCACATCCACTGACTGGTCTTCATAAATATTCTAGAAAGCAGCAATGAATGTCAACAGGTACAAATTCTTTTCCACGTGGAGAAATTAATGGCATGCACCTGTTTCATAGACCCCGTTTGGTCCACCCCTCTACTGCCATCTTTCACACAGCAACAACATGTAACAGGTTATTGGTGGGTAGGTTCAATCTCTACTCCCATACCACCAAAATCTGGCTCTGGTTTTGTGGGCCAACATAATAAAACAGAAGGTGTTATTTTCAGAGCAGTCTTCATACGTTGCTGCAGAAGGCATCTTTCACCCGTTGCTCAAGTAAACTCTGCTATCACATTAAGCTCTGTGTTTCAGTTCACTCACGTGCAAGAATTAGCCAGGTAAACAAGAAGTTGGATGTACTACAAACAAATAATTGTTTTCTGCAGATGCGTGGGGAAATTCCAGTAATCTGTTTCTGAATATTGATACGTGCAACCTCTACATTTTTTCCTATTCTTGACTTCAAAAGACACTTCTATTGAACATAACTGATTTACGATTAACACTGAAATGCATTTAAAATCAAATATCACAGGGAAAATCAGGAAGATATAATATACAGCAAGGGGAAAAAAGAGAAGGTACAACTTAGTAAACAGTATGGGAAATTGCTGTAGTCTAAGGCTGAGAGCTTAGCAGGCACTTTATTAAACTGCAATGCCTTACTTTACAGTTCTGCTCTTAAAATATGTTAACACTATATCACAGTTCCCGGCAGCATGAAGTCTTTCCAGAAAATGTGTCATCACCATATGCAGCATATTTTATAGCCATTATAATTTTATTATATCCAATAATATTTTTCTGAAATTCTAGGAAGTCTTCCCACAAAAGATAAGTAATGACTATGTTTTAATGAGCTGGCATAAAGTCTAACCACCATACTGCAGAAAAAAAAAAAAAATCCTTTTTTACACCAAAATGACCTCGGTTTCATTTTGCCTCTCTCAAAAAGGTTATGAACAAAATCATAAAGAATTTCAAGTAGTATGTGGCACAAAACTTCTCAACTGTGAAGCTATTTAACTCAAAGATTGATTTCTGCAATTCACTGATTCTTAATTGAAGTAGCTGAACAAATTCAGGATCCTATATGTTGCACTATTAAACAGAAAATTTGACAGTTATGCCAACAAATCCTGGAATATATGTCACTAGTTTTACGGATCCGCAAACACTGAAAAGACAAGCTACTTATCTCTGAGCAAAACAAAGTAATTCCTCTTTTCTTACCCGGGTTGGATTTCTGCTTTGCAGTGTGCTTGTGATGGGAGAACACTGCTGTGGAGCCCGGTACAACTGCGCGTTCCTCTAAGTCAGACTCTGGGATTGTAGCACAGCCACCTAGTAGAAAAGGGAAGGACCTTCATGTGGTGTTTTTGTAATGAAACAAACTCACCAGTGCACACTTAAGGAAAAGAGGCGATAAATTAACTGACATGAGATCCCAAGAACTGAAAGAACCTTAACTTTAAAAAGAAAAAAGAAAGTTCTGTGAGGTGAAAGAAAACCACTGCCATTGTTCAGAACACTGCTTATGCCTTAATGACTTCTCCCTACCGCTTATGTTAGTTTAAAAAAAAAGTTTGAACGGATTAAGCCTACAGATTACTTAAAACTGGTTCCACATAAAAGCTGGAAATAATATGGTTCACGTTAAAGATCAGACTATTGGGAGCTAGATCTGTAATACAAGTAATTTTATGTGAGTGAAATAACTTTACAAAGTCAACAAACCTTATAAAGATTGTTAGCTTGCCACAGAGAATTACATATGATGATATTTTTTTGGATGGGTTTTTTAAATAAAGTATTTTTAATTACCTCATGCTAGAGAGAGGAAAACAGGGACACTTTCACTGTATGATTACACTTCAGTGCCTTCCTCGTTAGTGATCTTAGGATGCAGGACATAATGGATTATTTGAATTTTGCAATATTGCTTTTCTTAGTAGTTCATCAGAGAGCACAATGACTTTAAATGCTTATGTTTAAAATATGAAAAGGGGGACAGTCTACTAGTAATAATACCTGAAGGCAGCTGTGGTAGCTTTCAATGGAGCAGAATAACGATTTTATTTTTCCAAAAGGCTGTGATCAAGACTTTGGAGAACGTATTGATGTTCCACAGCAAAAGCCACAGCCTTACAACAAATCCTTCGCTGATTCAGTCTGCATGTTAAGCTTGTCACAATTGTGACCTTTTAAGATCTCAAAGCAGGGAGGAGCATTTTAAAGTATTACTTTTTCAGCCCTGCTTGAATGCCACTTTTTCTCATGTGATTAATATTTCTATATTTTACCTTCAGCTATTCTGGGCAGTTCTTGTTGAAGCCCAAACCTCTGCCCAGCAATTTCAAACTAACACCCAAACTAAAATCCAGTACAGTACAGTAGATGCTCTATTAATGATCCTAGACAAATGGTTACCTGCTTTCAAATTTAGCTCTTACTTAAATATTTTGTTGCTCCAGGAGATAAGTTTGCATTTCTTTCAAAGAACCACTACTAACAGGTACACAAATGCATGTGCCTATTTACTGCATTCTGAAAGCACACATTTACAAACAGCATATCACGGTTGTTCTCTCCTTAAATAAATACATAAATAAATAACCTAATAACCTAATAAAACAACTGTGAAAAACAACACTGCAACCTCAAGAAGGAGAGGTGCAGCTACCCAAGTAGTTTCAGAAGCACTGGCAACACACAAAGTCCTGCAGAAATGTGTCTAGCTAGGGTAGAGCATGGCAGCTCCACTGAATACTGTGAAGGAACTCATTCCTACCAACTGAAGAACTGACACAGCATCCTTTATTTTCAAGGAAGACATAAGCTACTGTATTCCAGATACACCCTGACAGAAAGTGTAGGACACGTTATGGATTTGCATTTGAACTAGAGCAAGCCAATCTTTTCTGTTTGAAAGGACGGTTAGGTGTTAATGTATCAACAGTGTACATTACCCATGATAGCTTCAGCTATTTAGGGTTCCTGCTATGAAGTTGAAGGAGAAAATGGGAAATGAGAAAAATGTTGCCGTGTTAAAATACCACAGCAGTGGGGCACAGCATAAAATATAAACCTACCTACATCCTAAATGAAAACGAACATCGGTAAATTAATACTTCTGTTCCCATTTGCAAATTATGACTAAACTGTAAACTCAGATTTGATTAAATTGAAAGTATTTAAGTATTTTTCATTCTCCAGATAAAATCTGCCCTGTTAAACAGAAATCTGTAAACACGGGATACAAAATTAAGGTCTCTTCCACAAGGGAACTATTAAGAATGGCAAAACACATTTTAAAAGATTTTATAAAACTTTTAACATTATGAGTGAAAATTCATTCAGTTAGTTGGTGTCTATTGGATTTCTACACGGAAATAGACTTTTAAAGTCTCCTGAAGTCTGAAATTCTGTAACTTACATGGCCTTGAGAATTGACAACTTTTGACGCCAAAGTATTTCATTAGTCATCAACAGTGATAGTAATTGAACAAGAGTTGGAAAAGGTCTATTTGCCCTTAGGTATAACACTACTTAAATTTGTTAAGATTTCCTTGTCAACAGATACTATCAGAACGTACTAAAATTAAAAGCAAAATTCACCTTATCTATAGCTTTCATTTCTTGACAGAAAATAGTCGGGATTCAAACGTTACCAATCCACACATGATTTTACATATAAAGAAAAGTCCAAGCAGAGCACACAGAACAACAGTAACATCACAATTTTCAGTATTATGAGTAGTAATTATTTCATATTTCTACAAGGATACTGATAACTTTCATATATGATTTGTCTTATACACACCATTGCTTCAGAAATCTATTCATTGTGCTGAGGACAGTGTTCGGGGGGCCTGCACTTCATCCAGGATTCTTACTCCAATAATTATTTAAATGAAAGAAATAGGTGGTGACCTTTTGTGGCAATGAAGCTTACATGACCATGGTCACCATGCTACAGCTTTTGATGTCCTTCTCTTCCAATATTAGTTTATAACTGAAGGAACTAGTGGCATCTGCTGAACTATATCCCTCAGACTGTTTCCATACCCAAGGCTAGGTAAAATGACTGAACCCTCATTCACATCAACCTGCAGAGAAAAAACAAACTAAGTTGTGTCTGCTTCTTCCAATGGAACTCATGGCAATTTCAATTTTCTTGATCCACTTGGCACAGGTACCCACCCTCATGATAAAAATGGATACACTTGACAACATACTACGATTCTCCACAGGAAAAAGTGAGGACCGTAATAAGGCAATTGTCATTCTAGAGAAACAAAAACAAGAGAATGTATTAAAATTTCACTCGGATAGATAGGAAACTGGATGTAGTACAAATAGATCTTTGCTAGATTGCATCTAGCAAATATAATCTTTACACCACTGTAGACCATCATTTAGTAAAAATACTCAGAAAGACAGGTGCCAGTAGCTTCAAAAAAATCTTGCCCATGAGGACTCTAAGCTCTTTTGAACTACATTGTGCAGGGGTTCTACTGCAGTTATCTATCCTGCTTTCTTTGGTCAGAGGCCAACAGAACTTTTACTTCAAGTCACAGAAATCAGTCTGAATTCTTGTATATCTTTGCATGCATTTCCAAAGGCAGCCACAGAATACCTATTTTAGCAAGCATTTTGATCTATCTGGAGTCCTAGAAGTCACAGCAGCAGAATTGTTCACGTTCGTTGATTATTAAGCGAATGGTACAAAGTAGAAAAGTGAAATATTTAAGGAAAAGGTGGGGGGAAGCAAGAATAGTACATAAATCTACAGACTGGAAATGATCCAAGTTAAGAAGTTCTCCAGATGTCAGTCTGTAAACAGTGCCTCATAATATGAATTTCCCCATTAATTGTTGGCAGGAATAACATCTAGAATACAATATTACATTTGACCCACTCTTTCCCCCTTTTTTGTGTAGCTAAATTCTTCTCTGACATCACAGATCTTTTATCAGTTGTGATAAATCCAAGAAGAAAGCTGTGGTCAGCAGAACTGTTTGATAAGGTACAACTTGCATAAAATTACTCCGAAGCGAATTATGAACTTTGTTCACCAAAGGAAATGAAACTTCTCTTGTTTATTTTCTCTACGTCTGTTTTTGTGACACGTTTGGTTCTTAAGTTGGAAAAAGACACCCACACCCAAAGGAAACATAAACATAATGCATACTGAAAAAAAAACCCAAAGTACTAACAGTTTTCCTACAGGTTCCTATCATCATGTTTTTACACATTTTAATATGGCTCCAAAAGTTTAAAAACAGGAAAACAGAAGTAGTATACATCTAAAGAATGAAAAGGTACTTTGAGGGTAAGACCATTTGAGCTTCCTCTTTCTCTTCACAATCACAAACTAAACTATTCATAAAGTTTCCATTTTCCTCTGAAATTAACTCTTACACAGGAGGCTACAGAAGGAAGAAAAAAATGCTTCAACAGTAAGAGATTCAAAATACGAGCAGACAGCTCAGAAGCTCAGTCATTAGCAGGTCTTTCTTTTACGTGCAGGCCTTTGCAACAACAGAGATAATCTAAACACAAACATAAGTTCACAGAGATTCCAAAACTGGAAGTAAAATCAGACTCTGTTGATTCTTTTGAGGACGTGTACACTAAAAATGCAACCTAAAGCATTATAGATTCTTTGCTCTAAAAAACTAACAACATTTATTTCATATACACATATATAATTTAGGGGGGAGTGGGGATCTGCTCATCAGAAAGTAGTCATTTGGTTTAGGTAAACACTGCTGCAAGCTTTGTACCCAGGTAGTTGTACTGCTGCTTCCCAGAAGTAAGATAGAACAATATCATCTATAGAAGCAATTGTTACATATTTGAGACTACAAGATCCAGGGAATATTCATTCACATGATTCAGTGAAATATACTCAATCTGTAAGGACAAAAAGTAAAGAAATAGAAAGGAGAGGAAGAAGGATTTTCTTTTTTACATGTGTCTCACTGATAATGAATGCACAGTTGCACTTCACAGTGCAGAAACAACTCTGATTCAGTTCAAGCATTTGATAGCAAAATGTAGACTCACTAATAAATCAGCTACAGATTTCAGGACAAAGCATTTAAATCCAATAGTGTGGCTACAATTGTTTAGTCACAAAACTCTATTGTTGCTCTTTGTGCCTGGGTTGACTTAACCAGCATCAATATAACGATGGAAAGTATTTCTGCCTTGCATTCCACCAAAGTAATAAATTAATGAAAAATCATAGTAACGGAGTATGCAATCCAAGGTCACCATAGATCACCAAATATATTTTCAATGACAGTACAGAGAAACACACTGGGCTGGTGTTCAGC